GGGGCGAGGCTGCTGCCCCCCGGCCCCTGCGCTCCCTGCGGGCAGCACGGGGGTTCCCTCGGTGTAGGGCCATCAGCTCACAGCTGCACCTGTCTGAGCGTCAGCACCCCTAGCTCACCTGGGAGCTGCATGTGACGCTGCTGCAAGAGCTGCTTCGCTCAGGGCAGACTCACACTGGGAGGACTCACGTGAGCTAAGGTGACCAGGTCACTGATCCTTTGCTCATAGTGTTGTCCGGTGTCCAGATTTCTGTTTACACAAATGCTTTTTTATTGTCTGGAGGCCACCAGCTCATTTTTTTCAGGTACTGAGTCTTGTAAGTGCTGCTTTCTGAGGTGGGGGATAAATCCAGCTCTGGGTGGGCAGTCAGGGCAGTTAGTTAAGCTGCAAGTACTCCTATGAAAACACGTTGCTAAAAACATCCAGCAGTGTTGTGCAATGGGTGGAACAGTAACCGAAGAGGAGAGTACCATCATGTGCTAATTTTCTCACCTCCCCATGAAGGTCTCAGACTACCTGTTTGCAGTAATGCTTATAACTAGGGGATTCTCAGGTTTTTTTGTTGAAACCAAACTTAACCCTAGTCCTGTGCCAAATAAGTTCTTTGTAGTCAGAGAAATTGTTATTTTTTTTTTTAAGTGTCAAAGTCTGCCTTAATGATTGTATGAGGTAATGATGATATTAGCCCTTTCTTCCTTTAGTACCTTAGGTTTCTTCTTGTAGATGTGTTGCTGGATTTTTCTTTCCCCTTGTAGTAAGGATGATTTTAAAGGATAGTGTCTAGTAACATGGTTGCAATTAAGACATTGGTGTCTTAAAATAATAGTTACAGATACATCAACCTCACCAGTGTGTTGCTGCTACAGTTTTCTTTGTACCTGTTGCCCTCAATTTTCTGGTCAAGTAAGCTGAAAGCTATTTTATGGAAGTGATCAAGCTTTGGAGGCAAGTTAAGGCAGTTGACTTTAGCCTTCTGCTTCCTATTGCAGTATTTAACAGCTGTAATAACATTACTCTTTCAGAAAGACACTGTTTTTAAAAGCCAACTTTAGTTTATGTGAACATGTACCATGTTGTATATAAAAGTCAGTGTCTGTCACTGACTATAACAGTTCACAGCCCAGTTAGAAATACAGTATAGCCACTCTGTTCTTTTGCAAGCAACACAAGCATATACAGCTGTGTGGCAGTTTGGGGTTTGGTGGTGAAGTATAGCTTGGTGCCAGTTGTTCTTCAATTTCCAGCTGTATTTAGATGTGACTAAATAGGCCATACATTGGTGTTGTACTTGCAGGCCTAACAGGGACATAAATTGATTATACTGCAATCTAAACCAAGTTATGGAAGATCAAGAAATAGGCACTAAACCAGCCTTAAGTACCAGAGCATCCTTCTTCCCTTTTTATGTCCATGTCCTCAAATAATTCATTTTTTGGACCAGGAAATTAATTTTGAAGAATGCAGGAGGTACTGGTACAAGGTGGAGGAGGGTAGTATTGTGTAAATACTTCTTGTGTATGTGTTCAAAGGGAAAAAACACAAGAACATTAGTTACAACAACCAGAGAAGTCAGTTGGGCTGATGGTGAACCAGAATTCTATGCAAAGAGTATCAGATGGTGTAAAAGCAAGAGTTTTACTTTAAAACAGACAAAGTGGTACACATACCACACACACCCTCAAAAAAACCCCCAAAAGCACATAAAAAAAAGCTGAAACCCCTGTAATGAATAATTCTCTCATGAGTTGACTTTAAAATGTCACTAATACTTCCCCTATACTCACTCTAAACATCCTCCAGGAGCTGCACAGCCCTCTGTACTTGTTTTTAGCATGGGAGCCAGAAAGCGAGCTGTTGCATTTGGCTTCAGCAGCAGGGCAGAAGCAAACTGAAATTGCTGCAGGTGGGCCCTAGGACTGTGTCTGAGCTGCCAGTCTCCTGGGGAGGCCTTTCTCAGAAGTGTTGCAGTTCCTCTGTCTTGCCCATGCCAGGCCTGCAGGCAGGATGGGTGGGAAATGGCCTTGAGCCGACTTCCACAGATTATCCCTGGGGAAATGCCCCTACACATGGGAACTTTGTTCCTGCTGTCTTACTGAAACTCAGTTGGCAAGAGCAAAGGTGATGTTTAATTTCAGTGCTTTTTGATTGCAACACAGTCAAACTTATGTTTTTAATTCTTCTCATCATTGCAGCACACCCTCTCCCTCCCATTCCCTACCCTCTTTATGGAGCTGTAGAGCACACACTGTCCTTCCAGGAAGGTCTGTGTTTCCCAGTGGAACTTAGCTGTGTTCTCTCAGCCAGCTCACTCTGTGCTGGCACATAGAGCATGCTGTCTCTGCTAGCTGCTGTCAAATATCTTTGAAGCTTTGATTGGTGCCATTAAACAGATCCCCAGTGAGGGGAAATCCCCAAGTTTGTATTCTGTCATAGAAGCAAATAAGGACAATAAATAGGGCCCAGTGTATCAGAAAGGCAGCAGTTCTGTGGAAAAATCTGAAGTTACAGTGTAATGTCACTAGAACTGAGGTTAGAACAGGCTATTACAAATTATACAAATGTCAAAGGAACTTAACTGCAGGGTGTGTCAGGAGTCGAAACATGTTCCTGAATTCTGATTTTTCTGTGCCTTAAGTCAGAAATTCTGGATCTAGGAACTCATTTCTTGTTGGCAGGCATTTAGTAATTGTGGGAGCAATGCAAGAGCTAGTTCAGGAATACCTTACTTGTCTTTCTGGTATGCAGACTTCCCAAGTTTCCCGTTTATGTTCATAAAAAGCAGCAACCAAATCATCTGCATGCAGCTATGAGAATTTCTGTGGTGGAAGCCCTAGGCTTGATGTTCCTTGTGGTCTCTTAATACAATTAGTGCCTTTAGCAGTGTGGTGGTAAGGATATTTTCAGCTGGGATGGCTGTAGAATGTCTCCTGTGCGATGGGCAGTCTTGGCTGTTGAATGCCAGGCCCTTCCCACCAGAGCCCATGAGCAGCCAGCACACACGGATGCAAAGCAGCAGAATCTGATTTACCTTTTATCCCACTAGGTTCTGCAGCAGCATAAAAGTGCTGACACAATGGTGGCTTTGATGAAGGTTTATGAAGAAGAAGATGAAGCTTATCAGGATTTGGTCACCATGGCAACACAATTCTACCAGTACTTACTGCAGCCCTTCAGAGATATGCGAGAGCTGGCGACGCTGTACAAACTGGAAATCCTGGTAAGTCTGCCTGTACAAAGTGTAAGGCCAAGCTGTGTACTAGGGCACCAGCTGCTCTTGGAGCATTGAGACTCAAATCATGTAACATTCCCTACTTTTGTCTGTACCTACCTTTTTTTTTCCCCTGCCAAGACACCAGGCATGACTGAGAAATTCAGAGTTGGGGCAGAATCAGTCTCAGGATCTCCAGCGTCCACGTTAATGACTTGACTAGAACTGCAGTTGTCTTCCCTCAAGTGTCCATCTTAAAAGGAAAATATCCCTAGGCCCCACCTCTCTGGGGTTTACTCTCTGGGAGGCTGAATTTACAGAGAGTCTTTGTTGTGCCACCTTCAGTGGGATTAGCTTGTGACATTGAGGGTGTCATCCCCCAGTGGTGGTGACAAAACAGAAGGCAGAGGAGACCTTCCCACTCAAAGCAGTTTTCTATTGCAGTTGCAACCTGCTAGAAGTGTAGATTAAAACATGTCAGTTGTCACTGCATTAATTTAGCTTGACGTGCATCTTAAACTGGAAGCACGTGCTGAAAGTTATGATGCCCCTGGAATTGACAACCACTTCCTATTTTTAATTTTCCTTAAACAGTGTATTAAAATAAAAGCGAGCTGTTAATGTTCTCAAAAAGAGCAGAGGAGTTTTAAGTTTACACTATGTTGCTTGGATAGCAAAAATCTAACTCTGTGGCAATAAAATATCCAGTGTGCAGTTCTGAAAATTAAAGTGAAAATTGGAATGCATGAAACAAAGTTTGTTTCTGTATTTAAAAAAAACCACCAAAACCCTCTAAGGGATATTTAGGCTCATTTGAAGTATAATTCTCTTTTAAAAATATTTGGATACTAATGTTGTACCCATGTACACTTTGGGGATTTGAAAATACTCTTAGGTTTCTTCTCTGTATTCCTATTCCTGTGTGAAAGAAGTGCCAAATGGGAGAACCTGATGGTGCAATGTGCTGTCAACACATGGGGAAAAATAGAAAGGAACATTGCACATAGAAGAGTGGGTTTGAGTTATTTTAGTAACAGCTACAAACACTTGTGTTGGGCATGATTTTTAAAATGATAGTTTAAAAATACTTTAATATATTAATCCAAAATTAAATGTGAGGTCAGGATTGGGGAACAAAGGTTGGGAGCTAACCTGGAGAATGAGAAGCAAGGCAATGCATAGGCATGAGGAGTCTCACTTTGTGACAGGTGAGGAGTAGGTCATGTTTGCCACCATGCTCTGCCTTGCCTGAAATGCCTCCAAGTGCACAGTGCAGCTGCAACTCCGTGGAAACCAGGTGGTAACTGAGAATTGTGTCCTTGCAGAAATCTTTGCAGTATGATAATTTGGGCCCTAGAAGAGTTGCAGCTTTGCAGAAAGATGCTGAAGAATGGACTAAGCGAGCTGAGAGTGCTGTGTGCTCCATTCAGGATATCACTGTGAACTACTTCAAGGAAACTGTAAAGGCTTTGGCAGGTAATCGGAACGATGTACACAAAAGGTTATGTAAATACTTGACTTAGGGGACTGAAAGCTCATCTTACCTCTCTGCAGAACCTGAGATTGGGATGAGTGTCTAGAGAAAGAAGCGTTTTATTCACTGAAGATAAATACCTTTTAATCAATTTGATTTACAGCTTGCATTTAGCTTGCACGTAAATGTTATCAAGACCTGAGACTTATGGCTTGAAACCTCTGCATAAAAACCATGGCTGCTTTTAATGCTTGATATGTAAGCCTCAAGGATTCCAGCATGTGAACTGAGTATGTTGCTGTGTAACTGTTAAGGCATGTTTCCATGGTACAATGAAGGATTTAACTTACATATATAAGATCACAAAGTCAGCCTTTTGATCTTGTAATTTCTAAAGAAGCTTCAGAAATTGTTTAATAGGATCAGCGTTTTTAATGCTGCAGAAACACACAAAGGCTATTAGTACACTGCATTTCTCATGTCTTACTGCAATGTTTTCATCTGCAGCGATGCACAAACAGATGGAGCAAGATCAGGAAAGATTTGGTAAAGCCACCTGGGCATCAGCTTTGCCACGACTAGAAAGCCTGAAGTGTATGTTAGCTAAAGAAACCCTCCAGCATCTGAGGGCAAGAGAGTTGTGCCTGAAACAGAAGAGAGCTGGTATTCAGAAACATGTAAGACCTTGTAAAGTCTCTTTTTCTTTCACTGTTTTCTGAAGGGCTGATCAGAACCTATTGAAGTGGTCATGGGAGTAACTTCTGAAGTGTTTTGTCTATGAAACAGTTTAGGTTTTCAACGTGGTTTTAAGTTGTGGAAAAATGCATATCTGCAGATTCTTACAGTTCAAGTGTCATGTTAACATTTGTGATATTAACCTTTGAAGTGTTAGTTTTAGGGAGATAAAGACCAGATATTATTTTCAGAGGACACTGCAAAATAAAGATGCTTATTTAATATATTAATCTTCTGATCTTCTTGACTGGATGCTGTCTAACTGCTGCTAGGAGTTACCTGAGGTTTATTTTCCAGGCATAGTGTACTGCACCATATATAATTGTTTCCAGGAGCAGTGTCATTAGTGCAGATTGTAATGAAGTCTTTCCTGGTAGGCCTAAGGTAAAATTACTTTAGGTTAATAAGGCTCTCTGCTCCTCTGAGTTTCAGTCCAAGCCATTTCTAATGGCAGAGCATCTAAGCAGCTGCCAGTTAGGCCAGGCTCTTTACAGGTATTTGTGCATCCAGGCATGTTTCATGTGTGCATATTTTGTTATTAATGCTTTTTATTTTCTCTTTGGGGCTATACAGATGGAGAGTCTTGGCGAACAAGAAGAGAACTTAAGTGTAGTGGAGGAGCTGGAAATACAGTATTATGAAACACAGCTGGAATTGTACAACGTACAGCTTGAAGTATTGAAACATGAAGAGATGCTGCTTATCGTACAGTTGGACACTATAAAGAGACAGATTAAAGGTGAGAACAATTATTTAAGCACAGGACGCAGGACTGATATAGCCTGCTCTGTTTTCACTTAAAAAAAACCCCAAACAGTATCACTGCTTGGGTCTTGATAGTAGAAAGCATCATTGGAAAACATTAGTGCCATGGCACCATCTGATATTTTGTCTTCTGACTGATTAGATGCTAATTTGATAACACAAGTTTGAAAAGAAGCCACAGTGGTTGCTCATCTTGCCAGCACCTGTGATATGTGCATGCACTGATTTAGCATGTGGCATAACTTACAGTGACAGTGCTTAACTGCTCTCATAGGTACAAGATCTATGCATAGAAACTGTGGATATCATGAACCTGCTGAAATAGGTCCTGTAATTCATCATAATATATTGTAATCTAACGTGTAGCAAGTACAAAATGCATCCTATAATGATAAAAAAGTGATTATAGCCAGAATGGTACCTAAATCCTGCTGTGTTCCAGCTTAAGTGTCTCTTCGTGACATATTTATCACCAAATTAGGCACCAGTTTTATTCTTATTTGTCCTTATGAATTATCTGTTACTGTGTACACTGTGAAGTAAACATTGCTTCTGCTTGTTGCATAATTAAAATGTGGTAGGTAGTAAAATAAATCACCCAGTGTTGATCAGAACAGCCTTTGGTTTTCCAGGGAAACTCCAGTTGGTGAAGGTAGGAGTTAAAACACAGAGAGACATTGAAAGAGGAAGCTAAATAACAAATGCTAACAGCATAAATTTGATCCTGCACAGCCCCCCTGTGAGTAACATGACATGTTTGCATAAGACTGTGAAGGACCAAGCTCGGCTCTGGAGCATTACACTTTCTCGTGACTAACTCACTGCCTCCAATGGCTTTTGAAATGTCATTAGTTCTTTAAATGTTTAAATAACTGTGGCAATTTTTGGTTTTTTAAAAAAATGCCAAATGCCTTTTTAGAGAAACAGGATGAAGTTGTTTACTATGATACATGTGAAAATCCTGAGGAGCTCAAGGTCATTGAACAGACAATGGGACAACATTACGCTAACTTGTCAGAAATGACGATGCTGAGGCAGAAGACTAAGCAGTTGGAGACAAAGCGTGGGACTGTCTGTGCGAGGAGAGCCTACCTCAGGAACAAAAAAGTAAATGCAGTCCTGGAGATGTGCATTTTCTTTAGCTGGTGTCTTGACTCACGAGGGATGGACAGGAAGCAATTAGGGAAGCTTTGGGTAGAGCGTACAAGATGATTCACCACTCAGTGCCAAGGCCTGCAAACAGAAAGGGGCAATGTGATTCTAAGCCAGCTCTTTACTCTGCTGTGTGGAGCAAGTGCCTCTCTAGATTAGTAAGAGAGCACAAACTTACCTGGGTGGCCCAGGTGTTCCCCCATCAGCTAAACCTTACCAGAGCCTGGTTGAGGCCAGCTGGAGCTTTGCCCTAGCAGCCTTTTCCAAAGCAGCTGCAGTACAGGAGGAATCCTGGCCTGCCATGAAGGAAGCTGCAGTGACAGAACAACCAACACAGTCATGCTTTACCTTTGAACAGGAGGAAGGGCAAAATTTAACTTCTGCAATTCTCTCTCCAGCCTCTCCGTTCTGTGCAAAGGGGCAGTTTTCCCTTTATTTCCCATTCAGAGCAAAATACTAGGAAGACACAAGTGTTCTTATGAACCTTCTCAGTGAGCTGAGCTTACCTTACACCTGCAGTCCTGCTGGTGCAGGGAGCAGAGTTTAGGCTCCAGTCTACCTGACCTTTTACCCCTCACTAGGCTGGACAAAATGGGAATGACATTGGAAATGTTTTTGTGAGCCATCATTGTCTTTTGCTTGCAACTGCTTTCTTGGCAGACACTTCTTTTGCTTCTGTTTTCATTTACTTAATTGCTGTCTATTGGTTATGTAACACTAAAGCCAAATGCCAGATGATTTGCAAATGCTTGCCCAGCCGTGTGGATAATCTCCCTCAGTACAGAGACAAATAGCGACTCCCAGAGAAAATATTGAAGCCTGCAGCTTCTCTGTGGCACTTGTTATTAACCAAAGGTAGCTCTTCTAGGCAGTCGTTCTGCTTCCCATACCTTTGCTTCCCTGGGTTTTGTACTTGGGAGTTATGGTAAATAAGGGATGGGGGAAAGTAGCCCTGTATTTTTGTCATGCTCTGCTAGCTTCCTTCTTGCCTTCTTCCTCATGTCTTTGCATCCCTTCCCTCCAGCTGGTACTTGAGTGACATTTCTTCAGACCTTGTTTCTTCTTTTTTTTCCCCCCTTTCTTCTCTTTTTTTTTTTTCTAACCAAGGCTGAGACAGAGGGATTGGTTCAGATCTGGGTATGTTTTCTCTGAGGCATGGATAACTCTATTACTGTTTAGGAGAACAAAAGGTTCCATTGGCTTTAGCCATGAAGGAGTCCCACAGACTTCACCTTCAGGCTCTCACATCTGACACTAGTTGAGCTTAGCCATTTTCCTTGGCACTGCCAAGGACTCAACCATGGTTGCTATTTAGTGGCCTGTGCACAGGAGTTAATGGCACAGATGGGGCACAGGAACTGTGAACTGACTGAGGGTGCATGAATTTTTCTCCTCTCCCAGGATCAGTGTGAAACAAGCCATCGGCAGCGACTGCAACAGGCAGAGGAGAGCAAAAAACGCTTCCAGCAGCATCACAGCATACAGATAGTGAGTACCGAATAGCAGCCCTGAAGAATCTGGCAGCTGCTTGTTTTCACACACTAAGGCTCACTTGTGTTTTAATGCAGAAGAGAGACAAGCAAAAAGAGGAGGAGAAAAAGAAAAAAGCTTGGATAAGCCAGGAACGTCAGAAAACACTGGAGAGGCTGAAGACATTCAGGGAGGCAAGTACTGTGAGCTACAGTAGTCCAACATAGTGTCAAAACATGTCAAAGTAGTCATAGTTCATGTGTGAGCATGGTCCAAATCAGAGACAACCATTTGGATAGCTTCAAATAGGATTATGTGTAATGAGTCAAGAGGATTAAATCCACTAAGGATATAGTTTCCAGGTGTGGAACCTGTTGAAAAGAATGCAAGTGAGGAAATAGCTTTGAAAGACATACTTTGTTGTTCATTTAAATATGTTCAGGGTTGAATTTTCTGCTTGAATGTGTGGGTGGGACAGGTCTGTACTCTGTGGCTTCTTATCTCTTTGGGGTTGGTGTTTTGGCCAGTCCAATGGAGATGTGACTCCTGCCTTTTGATTTGTTTTTCAGAAGTGTCCAGCTCATGTTGTTCTGAAAACATCTCATCCCCAGACTTTCAGTCCCAAGTTGCCACGAAGTATCACTCAGCAGCCTGTGGTGCTGTCTCCTTCACCTTCATCAAGAGCAAGGGCAGCCCCAGCAGTACTGTCCCCTGCAGCCTCACCAAGAGCAAGGG